GACGTTTTGCATATTAAGCACTTACTGTATGGTTCTCACATTTTACTGAGTTGTTCTGTAATTTAGTATTCAGGTACTATTGATTGTCACCCATGGCGTTCTCGTTCACCACTATACTATCTACAGTCATATTGTGGTTGGATTATATTCAAGAAATTTATGTCAGAAAATGTTAATTACACGAATCAAACTCCAAGGTAAATTCGTTTATTTGTTTACTCTGAAGAGGTAGCTTACATTGTCACGAAGCGTCAGAAGTATGATTTTCTTACTCATTGAGACAGTCGTATGTATTTGATTATGAGATTGCAGAACATCTTAGTACAGTGAATACTTCATTTACAAAATAGTAATCGATTGTCTCCAACCTGACTGTTCCTTCTGCAAGTGTCAATCAATCATCGGAGACTTCATTGTTCATTCGTCTCCACACCAATCATTCTATTACCTTTGATCTTCGTAACCTTCAACGCCAAGCACTTCATTTCTGACTGATCATACATACTACTTATATATTTCGACATCAGTAGCACACATCACATGACTCACATTTATGCTTAACAATTTTTACTTGTTTCAATAACTCATTAAAAACTAATTAGAATATTTGTTCACAAATAAATTTGAGTGTTTCATTTTATCACATTCACTCACATATATATACGCGAATAGTGACATTCATATAACATCGTCAATAAACCAGTGTAATGATATAAGTAATTAGCAGAATAATCAATAAATTCATTGATAATATGTCTTTGATTGTGATCATGAAATGATTGATGTTAGGACAACATTGAAAACAAGAAAGTACTGGATGGCCGTTTCGTCTTATTGTGTAACTCTTCAGTAGTGCACATCCATGATCCTGCTTGTGGGATTCGAACCTCGGATATTCGGTCATACGTTAGAATGCTTAATCTCTACAACCCCATACTGATATTATATCTGTTTAATTGAATAGAAGCAACATCCAGAAATTCAGTCAAATGAATTATGATTACTCAACAGAAGTTTGAACTATCAGGTGATCAACAAATTACTCACACTTGTCTGAATAAGGTATTGTCAGTGTACATGATAAGGAATCATGAAATAAACTGTTATTTAGATCAGAAATCCAGTGAAAGGAATGTTATTCCAAATAGTGTCAATTATGGCCCAAAATTGTCAGGTATTCATAGATTTCAGGAAAAACCAAATCATTATTATAGTCCTCCAATCTGCAAACAGGAGGTTATTAGCATTGTCCAATAGGGAAGCTACACGTAGTGAATCTGGAATATTCTTTTAAAAAAGGATTAGGTGAGATATCTTCGGCTCACTTGGAGCTTCTAAGGGCTTCCGCGAGTTCTACCGTGCACTGTCCACACATAAGTTAACTATACTATATATATATATATATATATATATATATATATATATATATATATATATATATATATATATATTCATATTCCTTTCATTAAAAGTTTCCATTTGACTTATTGACTAACATTAAACAATTTACTATGCCCGAGTTATCCTCATTCTATTAGTTGCACTCTCGCACACTCACAGCCGCTTTTGTCTTGATTTTGAATAACATTTATTTTATGATATGATGAGGTTTGATTTACTTGTATATAAAATGCCTATGTCTGAAATACATGATTCATATCGCGGAGGGTGATATTGGTGTTTTAGACTAAACTGTCTGGATTAGGTGAGAGGCTACTATCTCGATGATTGATTCTGGCTGTTCATACTGGTTCATGCATCATTGTCTATGGTCAACAATCACTGACTATTCGAACATTTGGAAACATGTAATAAGGTGATTAGAAGAAAACTAAACTAATCCTCTCTCTATCACTGTCTCTCGTTCATGTAAATGACAACTGCCAATATTGTTTTGTTAATCATTGTACTTGAAATAATCAAAATTTTACTTAATAATATTTAATCGTATTACTGAAATTGTAAGTTGAGCAGCACATTGATTTGGAGTGATTATTATTTTCTCTCTCACTATGTCTGTGTGGTCTTTTTTCTTATACCCTTCCATAGACTACCAATAATCATGATTTGTGTACTGAGCTTGATATGTGATAAACCTACTGAAATAGGTGAAGCGGTCGATACTCTCAACCACTTCACTCCCTATCATTAGTTCAGGTGTCGTTTCAACCCAGTCATGAAGCAACATTTCGCGGAGGAGCATCGCATGTCAACGACAAAGTTAAACAAGAATGGAGAGAGTGGACAGATCTGATGAACGCCACCCGAGAGAATCAATTCTTATGACAGTTCGCCATAAGCTCTCATTCGACCAGTTGTGAAGAGCATGTATAAGATTTATTTACTTCATTGGCACTGCTTTCAAGAACAAACATTGCTATAAAACATGTAGTGGAAATAAGATCACCAAAACTCACATGGAATAGGACCTAATTTTGTAATTCTACTTAGAAAATTTGAATTTCTTTTTCTTCGCGCCAAAAGCGCTCTTCTCACCGTCATGTAGTATTTCTCACTTGACGAAATCTTAAATGCTATCGGTGCGTTGTCTTTAAGCATACTATTTTGTAACTCTCACCAAGGACGGTTTTGTGCTGTATATACGTTTTCATTTGTGTTTGCCTTTATCACACGTTTCTGGCTGTTTATGGTATATACTACCCCATTCCAAGCTTGAATATCTTCCTATATTTAACGGAAATTGGACGCATAGAATAGCTAGCTTATTTATTTTTGGTCACCGAGTTTTTGTTCCGTTCGCATACTAAGTGAACTCATAACCGCTTCCAACCTAGAAGAACCTCACGATAAACAGTGTCAAATGCCGCCTTCAAGTCAGGAGACACTAACATTGTCTGTCGTCTTAATGTGTGTCTGTGTTCTGAGACCTAACGTAGTGTGAATATCTGGTCTATACAACCATGTCAAAGTTGAAAACCAGATTAGTCTTCTCTAGTCAACTCTTCACAAGGTTTATTCAAGTTTATATATATCATTTAGAAGCAGATTTCCTTCAATTGAAGTTTACTTGAATCTCAATGTTGTTTGGAAACAAACTTCATATTTCACATTTCAATATGTATGGGATTGGAATTAGTGGAATAAAAAAACTAAGGACAAACAATTCATACATTAATGATACTGATGACTGTAGCTTACCTGTAACGATGACGTTGAACGAACTGATTTCAATTTCTAAGTTAGATCTAAAATACCCCTTAATCATTAGATAGATTTCTAATGAATATTTTGTTTATTCATATTATCTATTGAAGTTTGATCAGGTTTGAATTGCTACAATTGATTCATACTCATATATCTGATCAAGGTTCATATGTATATGGCAACAGTCAATTATAAACTCAATATAACAAATATAATCAAAATGATACAGAAAGCACACACATCAGTGTTTGTTAATTATTATTTGAATCGTTTTGTGACTAGATAAGAAAAGTGTTCACTCCATTTCATAAGACTTGGATGACTGTTACTCTATTCATCTACACATCCACTAGACTACACAAGAAATAGTGTAGTGAACGAGAACACAAGTGTTTGAATACAAAATTACAGAACGTCTTGGTCAAATCTGACAATCATACAGTTAACACTTCATTTGCAAAATGCCAATCAATTGTCTCAGAATTCATTGTTCCCGCTCATAACTCATTGATCTTCTCTACCTTCTCCTCCCAGACATTCTATTCCTCACTTGTGTTATATACTACTTCTGTCGACATAAGTAGCACACAACACAACAGTGTATATTAAGTTCACAACACAAATCATAGTTCTCGGCAATTAGGAATAGCTGAATAGACACAAAGAGAATGATAACACGTCTAATTCAAAACCATATTCTCCATTCATCCTATCGAAATATCTAAACAGCATACCGAAATGGAATCAAGGTAAACTACATTAACCGGTCAAACCATTCTGAGTCCGATTCCTCGTGTCGTCCTTGTGAATCTGCACATCTGGAGGTCCTCATATTACAATTTATAACTGTCTAGTGCTTCTTGACTTTCGACATTGGTCCAAAATCAGTTCGTCATTAAACACTATGAAAATTCTATGATTTAGGCAAAACTGTATACTCATTTGTTGCTAAACAATCGGTACTCACTTCCAACTGTATAATTGAATTTAAACAACTTTCCCAAATTCAGCACATCTGAAAAATACTCTGACTGATTTCAAAGGCCTGATATATAAATCCGTGTTCTGTGAATTTCAAGCGAAGTTGGTAGGATTGTTATCCCTTTTCACGTGACAATTTCATGAAATCATCATGCTTATCAAACTACATATATATTGTTATGCTAGTTAGTAGAGATCAAATGACAGTTTTGCATCACTTCCAAGTGTAACGTTTGTCAAGAAAGGATAGCATTGCAATGTCATTTTCCATGATATCGTCCCAGAGAGATAAGATCTACTTCTTAAATTTTGAATGTTAGACATTATGAGTCAATTGAATGTAGACAACCTTCATGCCGATCTCCTTGCAATAATTATTATTTAATTATTTATTTGAAAAAATTAATAAATCAAATAAATAAGGTATTTACTAAATGAATTCAGGGGATTTAACATCCCCAACATCCTGAGTATGCAGTTTAATACATACACATTCGTCAACTTTTCTTGCGTCTGCTATTCATCGATGGCATGGCTATTTCATGTTCCGATATAAGGATAAGACTTCTGAATAAAATAGCAGCATACTACTGTGTGGTGATTATTTATTCGTGTGGTATGTCGTTTTTATTGTTCTTAAGCATAGGGCATCCACGATCCCACCACTTGAGATACAAACGCAGGATATATCGGTCTAACTGCAATTAATATATTTACTTCACCTCACTACCGATTATTTCCATCAACTATACAAACATCGATTAGATTAATTCACTTTGTAATGATATGTGTAATTCACTTGTTACGATGAGTTCGTCTCTATCAGATGACAGAATTGAGTGAATACTTCAGTACTACTTCACAATTGGACATATTTTGCGAACATTACACAGAACTGTCATGTAACATGTTAGTACACTTCTTGATTACGTAATAGAGGGAAACCATCTCATGTATGATAACTATTCTATTCAAAATGATCCTTAAGTGAGAAAACTAATCAACATTGAAGATGGATAACAATTAATGAAATCACTTTATATACGTTACATTGTAATAAATTAGAACAAAAATAAACACATGTAATCAGGTTGCACAAACACAAACAAGATTTTGGTTCATCCGATATTAAATCAACAACAACAAAAAAAAAATTCAGAAAAATGTCTTCAATCTAGTGTTCAAATTCAATGTTCTGTTATTTGGAACAAGAATATAGAACTATTGGTATTGTTGGCATTTATGATACCCGTATTGATTGATAATGTCGAAAAGAATACGTTATATAATAATATAGATGCCAATGCATAATTTGGATATAAGAGAAGATATCTTGATTTGCCAACAGTTAAATAACTCAGAAATATTGTCAACTGTAAAATAAATAACACATTGGCCAGTATGAAGATTGTAGTAATGTGAATGGTTGACTTGACGAGTCGATCTAAATTAGATGCATCATTGAAATCCTAGAAACACTAGACGTACTTTTATCACAATATGGAACTCTTCATAGTACACAGCAATGATCATGCGGCCTCAGTTATCTAGTAGTTAAGTAATCGCGTATGGGATCATAAGTCCCAGGTTGGAGTCCTGTGTTTGGGATCGTAGATGAGCACTGTTGAAGAGGCATCGCGTTATCTATTTAGCTACTGAGTCCTAACAGTCATTTGCTTGTGCAATATCAAGTGGATTGAAATTTCATCACATCGCCCAAGCAAGTTGCTATCAAGATTTCAGTTAAAGAGTGAACCGAACTCTGTGATGTATATACTTACGACCGTTGAACCACGTTGAAATTTAAAGCGATTGGTCCTTTTTTATAAGTTTCCATAGAGTAATGAGAATACGGAGTTGATCGGAAAAATCTGAAGTATTTACGCCGTACATTTCGATCGAGATCAATAAACGAATAATGTCAGACCACCACTGAAAAACAGTTTTGCCCTATTGTTGCACTCCTCAGCAATGCGTATCCACAATCACACATGCGCCATACGAACCCACGATAATAGGCCTTGCTCGCGAATACTTGATCTATATTACACTGACACGGTTTGTAACGGTGTAGATGTCTAACTTCTATCGGTCAATGAATGTTTCCCAACACTTCATACATCATCTGAGCTACATACATATCTCCCACCAGAATCACATATCACTCAGAATATCGATGTCTGTTCACATTGAACCATATCATGTGTAAGTCATTTTCAGTAGAGACCTCAATAAGGCAATATAGAATTCGTTTTAGACAAACAGTTCACTTCTACTTCAGAGTGATCATTATATCAACAAAAAATCTACATCAATTTAACTCACAATGAACAATAATATTTGTGCACCTATGAAAACACCGATCGTATAATACTGAAAACAAGAAGATGATTCAGTGAATTCATTTCAACAATTCAACATTACATTTACATTGAACAATACTCAAACATGACTATATAGGATTGAGTCAGTGTGTACATCTGGAAGATAAGAAAATTTAATCACGTTTATCTCATGTTGGATTAGGTAAATCCGATTCACCTCTCTTCATTTTACCTTGTGGAAAGCAGGACATATCTGCATATATTGAAGCCGTAATTCGTTCTATACCAGCTTGAATAATGGGTCTGTCTTAAATTTTGGATTGAAATGAATGTGAATGGATTACTGATGTCTAGGATGGATGTTGTGTTTTTATTAATATGACAGAAACGTTTACAGCACCGACGCTAATGTGGGAAACTCCGCCTGGAGTTTCTCAAGGGGATACTGCCGGTCCCAAGCCCGGATAAAGGAGGAGGGTTGGGCATGAGGTTTCTGTCTCTATCACGTAGAAAACTAACTCGCTAAAAAAACGCTTACCAGTATGCTAATGTGGGTGCTATGAAGCGCATATTCCTCTAATTAGTGTATTTCGTATAAACATGTAACATATATTAGTTGAGGGAAAGCTGTTGTGAAACTCTCTCGTTCTGATACATTTCTTCAAATGCCTATTTATTCATTCTAGTATGTAAACTGTGTGTTCAAGTAGGCCCGTTACGTTCATTGTTATATCAGAATGACATGATCAAAGAACATTCTTCAAAATGAACGTAGTATTTATTTGTGATACGAAAGTGAAGATACTCAATCGTTCAAACATGACTACCTGGCATATTAGAGACATGCATTCATTGCAACAGGATATCCATCTATGAAACATTGCAATTTACCCACTACTGGACAGAATCATTTATGGATTTGATCTTTATTCTCTTCCTAAACAACACTTCACTCTTATACAATATCAACGTTTATTGCCACTTTGATAATCTGGTTGACATGGCGACCGAACTGACGGGTATTCTATCTAAAGTACAGGACCACAGCACAAGATTATATTAATCATACCAACTGAATACCCTGCATATCATCTAAATTTACAAGTTCATCTAACATAACACTTTGGACTTTTGATCGATTTCATTCAGGATTTAAATGTTCACAGATGTTGGTTATTTAGTAACTAGATGACAGTGAACAGTTTCGAGTTTATAACTATCAAAGTATATGATGGTGAACATTCGCATTGTTGAGAGAGTAAACTAGATTCAATCAGGATCACGTCATTTAGAAATCAAATAATTCAGTTCACTATAATACCTTGTACTGTTTCCAAAAACTCAGCACGACCGCGACTAACACAATGACAACAGATATAAATGAAAATGATATTAGAATGCTCATTAAGTGATCCGTCAAATCTGTTTTAATCGCTGCACCAATCAGTATTCCAAATGTGAATAATACCAAACTGATTCCAAAGACTGCAAGTTTCACTAGAGGATTTAACTGTGTATTCCAAACTCCTAATGCTGTTACCATGCAGATAGACTGAAAATGAGAAAGAATTTTATAGTTCTAATGGAATACATATTCATTCATGTATGCTTGTATTGTATATGAATGCTGATAATAATGTCTATTGAAGTTATGAATTCATTTTCCGAAAATGACTATTTTAAATTTGATACAATTAGTTCGATTACTATTTATTTATTTGAACATATAAATATTGGTACGAAGGGGAACCGAATACATATTCCCTATATATTTCACTTGATTTGTGTGAAGGTTGTAACCCTGCCCGACTGCCGAGACTGAAGAAGGTGGTTTTCTCATGGAACCATACTCGGAGAATTCAACCTTAAGGTTGGATCCACAACTCAGTGGAGCAACAATAGGAGACGCAGCACCACGCTAGTCGGTGACCAACGATTAGTTCACACGTCATTTGTTCCCTCTGGATCCTGAAGCCCATGTGCAGCATCGATTTGAAATCGGAGACTTCGAACTCACCTGATAGGAACTTCGATACCTGCCAACTATGTGAGAGCATAGGGCATTTGCTTTTGTCCTCTCAGTTTTGTAGACAACACCTGCGCTTCCAGAAGGCAGTGAGTAGGATTTCACTGCAACAGACTGTATACGTGTGGCCATGTGAGATAAGTTCGACAGAAGGAGCTGAAATGTCTGGCATATCTATCGCAACAGATCGAAGATTTAAATTAATTTGTAGATCAGTCAGAATTTCGCTTTCGCAAGCCCCTTCGGTGTCATAACCACCTGTCACATCGGATTATTATCTACAGACAGTACTCTCACTCTCATTTGCACACCATTCATTATAATGAATTATATTACACACACTAACAAAGTAAATGTGAAACGATTATCAGAAATTCTTACATAAATAATTACAAGCGCCACATTCAGTGGATATTTCTCATTTATCTTCTTCACGAAAGCCATTACCAAAGCTATCACAAATGCTATCAAACTACAAAATAAAACAGAAATATCTGTTGAGTATAACATGATCAACTCTGACTATCTCTTCTATGGGCTCAACCCGATCTGAAGTCCGGGAAAGGAAGAAGGTTGGGCGTGGATTCGGCAACCCTATCCTGTAGAAAACAACTTTGCTACAAGAAAACGCTTAACAGAATAAACCTCCAATTTCAAGGAAGAATTATGACGCCTCATGATGAGAGCCGAGATCCATCGGAAGTCACGAGGCCGATGTTTCTTCTAACGACCAAACCAGCAATTTTTATTTCTCGTTATTGAGTGGCTCATTGTTGTCAGTATCATCAGAAAATGGAATGTTCATACCTAATGTGATTTCAACCGTACTAAAATATCCTGCACTGTGTTCTTTGTACTAAAACATCTTGAGTTAATTTCGTCAGGCTCATTTACCTACTCTGAAGACGTGGCTGATATTAGGTGGCGGAACATCAAAATTACGATTTTTCTACTCATTGTTTGGGATAATACTAACAATAATATTACACTTTCTAGGCAATGTCCAATTTATTTGAAGCTATCCAGTTCATCCTTGACATACATACATCTTAACCATTCTGCCTTATTATTACTTACCATTGATGATTGACTGAATTCACTTAGTATTGTTGTTTCTTTGTATCTTCCTAATGATGGTTAGCATTTCAGTTGTTCAGTCTCTCATTGAAATGTGTGCATACTGTGAGCACTGCATCGATATTGCCTTAATTCACAATCATTGTAAGCAAAGATGGATAGTGGCTAGCAGTCGAATCCAGTTTGACGAGCGTTTCGTCCTATTTAGGAGTGATCAGTTGGGTGTACCTACATACAAGGGTCGATGTTCAATATAAGACTCGAACCAAGAATCATTCGCTTTACACGTTATTGCGTTATTTGCTTAGCTACTTAGACTTGATAACGCGATGTTAAGCACAATATGTACCTACACATATATCCTGGGACAACCAAGTGAGTAATGCAGTTGTTTAAAAACGGGAACTAGGTAAGGATGGCAAAGCAATTGATAAAGTATTGAAACTTCATCAGATGTAATGGTGAGGACATGTGTTACGCATGCATATACGTAAAAGACATCGGATACGTTGGTCAAACACTATCAGCAACAACCTACTGTGGGAGAGTACAAACCAGATTCCAGTAGTGGAGTAAGCAATCAGGAAGAAGTGCTAGAAGTGGTTAGGACATAGATTGAGGAAGACCGATGAACAAATTACGCCGAGAAATGGAGACAAATATGAGAAGAATGAATAATAACTAGAAAGGAAGGCACAGAACAGAGTGGGATGTAGAATGCTAGTCGGTTGCCCATACTCAATTGGAAGTAGCAGGAGTTAGTAAGTATGTAGGTAACCGTCTATTTAATAAAAATGTTCGATCACTATCTTATATTCAAGTGAATTATTCAACGAAGATTATGAATAATATGTAAACTAAAAATGATATAACATACATTAATATACCAGCAGAAATGGATGTTATCCATCCCCCACCATTTTGAAGTATCATCTTGCTACTGAAAAGACAATTATCATTAAAACTGCTTAGGTAATTTACAGTAATGACGAGAGCATTATGATGACAAATGATACTGATATTTGTATTGCAACCAGTATAAGCACCTATCATTGTGAATGATTTCATTATTGATAAAGTGTAATCTACTGTTTTGGTATATACTGATACAACCATTATAGGATCATCAAGTTGCATAATATTCATTACATTGATTCCTTCAATATTCTTCCATCCAAGGTTCTCAAACATAGCAGGCATTACTTCCAATGTGGTTTCCTAGAATAAACAATAAATTACCATATGAAAGTTTCATCATAAATCTGATTTATCACTGAATATGCTGTATTCAAAGAGGAAACGAGTGGAGGTGAGTGTGGTGTATGCTACTGATGTCGACAGATGTAAATAGTATGTATCACCAATAAAAATGATGTGCCTAGAGAAAGAGGTTCCAGAAGTTTTAATGATTGTATTTGAAATAATCAAAATTTTACTTACTAATATTTAATCGTATTACTGAAACTGTTAGTTGAGCAGCACATTGCCTTGAAGTGGTTATTATTTTCTCCGTCAGTTTGTCTGTGTAATCTTTGTTCTTGTACCCTTCCATAGACTACCAATAATCATGATTTGTGTAATTGGCTTGATATGATACACTATTCGTTCAATAGTCTATTTAAACAGATAGACATTTTCACCAATAATAATCGTGTAAAGATGAAAGTCGATAGACAAGCGTTGGTAACCAATCGCTACTGATGATAACTGAACACTTCAATCAATATTTCATTTCAGTCCGTCGGTCAGTCAACAACAACGTAGAACTTCGTACGTATGTGCATCAGTTGAAGTTGTCATACCACATTAGAACAGAGATACAGTTGTCGATTCAAATCCCTTAGTGGTAGAGGTTGTAAGAGTATAAACAGTAATCGGAAACATTAGGGTTTGAACATGTTATTCAATGAGTATAATCCACTGAAATAAATCTGGAAAGAGAAAAAAGAAACGGACATGAAGAATTCAGAAGAATAGGATTTGAGAGAACACAAAAAGTGGATGCATCTGCACCATTGCAAATGATTTTAAACCGTGCTATTTAAGGTTTCTAACCATCGGTTGCTATCGTCTGGCGGATCTCAACCAAGTAGTTCACACCTACCAACATGGCTCAGTCCACTTGTCAATGATTTCTTGAATCTGTGCCATGTTTTTATCTTGCTGCTCTTAGCTGTCTTCCAGTCTACTCCTACACCATAAAACATCGCACATCAAGGAAGTTAGTGTTTAGGCATACATCACACGTGTCCAAGCCATCCCAACTGATGAAGTTTTACTACTTCATCAATTGATTTGCAATATTTTTGTAGTACCCGTATCCTAACAACTGAATTAATAATGAAGTGGTGTCAGAATATACGAGCAATGTTTCGGAAACACATATGATGGAATACTAGTAATCCTCTACTCTTACCGGCCATGTTTCGCAGCCATAAGGTAGAAAGGATTGGACGGCTGTAAACGCGTCTTTTGGCTGGTAGACGGATATCACGCCGACGCCACAAATAACACAAGTTGGCAAACGTTAGTCGAGCCTCCTGTATCCGTGTTGAGATTTCGTCACACACCACACCACTAGGGCTTATAAACCTCCTAAAATAGGTAAAGCGGTCGTTACTCTCAACCACTTCACTCCCTATCATTAGTTCAGGTGTCGTTTCAACCCAGTCATGAAGCAACATTATGCGGAGGAGCATCGCATGTCAACGACAAAGTTAAACAAGAATGGAGAGAGTGGACAGATCTGATGAACGCCACCCGAGAGAATCAATTCTTATGACAGTTCGCCATAAGCTCTCATTCGACCAGTTGTGAAGAGCATGTATAAGATTTATTTACTTCATTGGCACTGCTTTCAAGAACAAACATTGCTATAAAACATGTAGTGGAAATAAGATCACCAAAACTCACATGGAATAGGACCTAATTTTGTAATTCTACTTAGAAAATTTGAATTTCTTTTTCTTCGCGCCAAAAGCGCTCTTCTCACCGTCATGTAGTATTTCTCACTTGACGAAATCTTAAATGCTATCGGTGCGTTGTCTTCAAGCATACTATTTTGTAACTCTCACCAAGGACGGTTTTGTGCTGTATATACGTTTTCATTTGTGTTTGCCTTTATCACACGTTTCTGGCTGTTTATGGTATATACTACCCCATTCCAAGCTTGAATATCTTCCTATAGTTAACGGAAATTGGACGCATAGAATAGCTAGCTTATTTATTTTTGGTCACCGAGTTTTTGTTCCGTTCGCATACTAAGTGAACTCATAACCGCTTCCAACCTAGAAGAACCTCACGATCAACAAAGTCACTTTAAGATCAAGAGATACTATCATTGTATGGCAGCAGAATGTGCTTCTATGTTCTGATACTTAACGTAGTGTGAATATCTAGTCTACACAACCATGTCAAAGTTGAAAACTAGATTAGTTTCCTCTAGTCAACTCTTCACAAGGTTTATTCAAGTTTATATATATCATTTAGAAGCAGATTTCCTTCAATTGAAGTTTACTTGAATCTCAATGTTGTTTGGAAACAAACTTCATATTTCACATTTCAATATGTATGGGATTGGAATTAGTGGAATAAAAAAACTAAGGACAAACAATTCATACATTATTGATACTGATGACTGTAGTTTACCTGTAACGACGACGTTGAACGAACTGATTTCAATTTCTAAGTTGGATCTAAAATACTCCTTAATCATTAGACAGATTTCTAATGAATATTTTGTTTATTCATATTATCTATTGAAGTTTGATCAGGTTTGAATTGCTTCAATTGATTCATACTCATATATCTGATCAAGGTTCATATGTATAGGGCAACAGTCAATTATAAACTCAATATAACAAACATAATCAAAATGATACAGAAAGCACAAACATCATTGTTTGTTAATTATTATTCGAATCAATTTGTGACCAGATACGAAAAGTGTTCATTTCATTTCATAAGACTTGGATGACTGTTACTCTATTCATCTACACACTCACTGGACTCCACAGGAAATAATCTAATGAACGAGAACACAAGTGTTTGAATACAAAATTACAGAACGTCTTGGTCAAATCTGACAACCATACAGTAAACACTTCATTTGTGAAATGTCAATCAATTGTCTCAGAATTCATTGTTCCCGCTCTTAACTCATTGATCTTCTCTACCTTCTGCTCCATTACATTCTATTCCTCAGTTGTGTTATATACTACTTCTGTCGACATAAGTAGCACACAACACAACAGTGTATATTAAGTTCACCACTCAAATCATAGTTCTCGGCAACTAAAAATAACTGAATAGACACAAAGAGAATGATAATCAGTCTGCTTTAAAAAGATATTCTCCATTCATTTGAGCACAGATGTACTAAAGAAGAAACAATCGCGAATTCCAATCCAATAGTTGATTGATATGATGAAAATCATTCTGATCTGGTCAACTTTGAAACTAAATGTTAACCAATATTTACATTTGTGATATCCCATCACACTTCTAATTATCACTAAAATCATTTAGTCAAATTCAGTATCTCTACAAACATCCTATCGAAATATCCAAACAACATACCGAAATCGATTCAAGGTAAACTACATTTTCCGGTCAAACGATTCAGAGTCCAATTCCCCGTGTCGACCTTGTGAATCTGCACATCCGGAGGTCCTCATATTACAATTTATGAGTGTCTAGTGCTTCTTGACTTTCGACAGTGGTCCAAAATCAGTTCCTCATTAAACACCATCTTAGTACATACACATTCGTCATTTTTTCGTGCGTCGGCTATTCATCGAGAGCATGGCTATTTCATGTTCCTATATAACGATATGAATTTTGAATAAAATGGTAGCATACTACTGTGTGGTGATTACTAAATCGTGTTATTTGTCTTATTGTTCTTCAACACGCATTAGTATCTCACTACATTGATTTACTTTAAACGTCGAAGAAGAGTAGACAACTTGATTCTGAATGAGATACAGCTTATACTGAATTCACGTGAACATAAAATTATCGGAGTTACTTTGAATGTTTATTAGAACGTTTCGGTCATATCGATTTTGGGTTAAATGCATGAGTCAAAATAACCTGGAATACAATGTAATACCTGGGTGCATTAGACGACTGTTTCGTCCAAGTTTGGTACTCCTCAGCATGGTGAATCCACGTTGCACCACTTGAGATTCTAACCCAGGACCATTTGTCTTGCGCGTGAACGCTTGATCTCTAGGCCACTAATCCGGCATCCAATAGTGTTAATGTCTAACTGCAATTAATATATTTACTTCACCTCACTACCGATTATTTCCATCAACTATACAAACCATCGATTAGATTAATTCACTTTGTAATGATATGTGTAATTCACTTGTTACGATGAGTTCGTCTCTATCAGATGACAGAATTGAGTGAATACTTCAGTACTACTTCACAATTGGACATATTTTGCGAACATTACACAGAACTGTCATGTAACATGTTAGTACACTTCTTGATTACGTAATAGAGGGAAATCATCTCATGTATGATAAATATTCTAATCAAAAAGATCCTTAAGTGAGAAAACTAATCAACATTGAAGATGGATAACAATTAATGAAATCACTTTATATACGTTACATTGTAATAAATTAGAACAAAAATAAACACATGTAATCAGGTTGCACAAACACAAACAAGAGTATGGTTGATCCCATAATAAATCAACAACAACAACAAAAACATAATTCAGAAGAATCTCTTTGATCCAGTATTCAACTTCAATGTTCTGTTATTTGAAACTGGAATACAGAACTATAGGTCTTGTTGGCATTTATGATATCCGTATTGATTGATGAAGTTAAAAAGAATACGGTATATAAAAATATAGATGCCAATGCATAATTTGGATAAAAGAAAAGATATCTTGATTTGCCAACTGTTAAGTAACTTAGAAATATTGTTACCTGTAAAAGAGATAACACATTGAAGATTGTAGTAATGTGAATGGTTGACTTGACGAGTCGATCTAAATTAGATGCATCATTGAAATCCTAGAAACACTAGACGTACTTTTATCACAATATGGAACTCTTCATAGTACACAGCAATGATCATGCGGCCTCAGTTATCTAGTAGTTAAGTAATCGCGTATGGGATCATAAGTCCCAGGTTGGAGTCCTGTGTTTGGGATCGTAGATGAGCACTGTTGAAGAGCGCCATACGAGAGCGAAACAGCCATTCACTGCTTCCATGTTTTCAATAGTGATCTAGTTTAGATCGACTCGTCAATTGAACTGCTTGAAAACATTCATCAGTTTGGATTTCATATGCATTATTCGATAACCAAATTAGAATAAGTGATGATATTTCTTGTGTAATTTCTTATGTAAGAAATATTAACGAAAATGACATGAGTGCAGTTCTGCAACTGAAATTATAAGTAAAATTCACTTAATATTTTTTGCTTGAATCTTATCATTGATCAGTCTCTCTCTTTAGTGAAATATCTGCATTATGTGAGGATTGC